CGAGAAAAGTGCCAGGACACAAAGGACTGATGACATCGCTTAAGGCTACAATGACAAGAATAATTTAGGAAGATGAGTCCTCCCATCTGCCCAGCAGAAATGAACTCAACCCCTGAAGCAACATATTCATTGTTAGATAATACTCAAGTATTCTATTGATTTATCAACATGACCCACAGTCATATCAAGTACAACTATGAAAGGTCATGTGCTGTGAATGGGTTCTAAGACTTCAGGAAGTCTTAACTCCTGGAGACAGTCATACAGTAGTACTGAATGAGTAAAAAATCAGAAATCTTACCTAACAAGAAAAAAAATGCATCTGAAGGCCGATGTACTGTTTCATAAGTCAGTGCTGTCCTATGAAGACATTTCCTTCAGCCACAAGATAGACTGTCAGAAGTCTTAGGTTTCTTTAGGTGCTCAGTTCTCCTTGTACTCAGTTAACCCATCATAAACCATAACTCCTAACTCTTAGCTGGTTTTGCTGCATTTGATTGCTTCACACAGCCTTCCCTACGTTCAGCAGCACATAGCAAGTAATCGAGATTTCCCAGACAGCTGAATTCTGCGTTGTACCTGGGAACACTTGATAAGAACTCAAAAGGCAAATACAGCAGCCACTGCAAGTTTCCATGTATGCCAATGCTACGCGTAACAACGGGACAGGAACTTCACCTGAGCAAAGAGAGCCACAATGAAGACAGTACAGAATATATATATACACACAGAATATCAGCACCTGCAGATTGCTACAGCTGTATAAAAAGGAAAGAAAAAAGGCTACAAGTCCATACAGTGAATATGGTGTATGTTTTATTCTATTTACAGTACATCTGTTATAAATATAATACATTTCTTGAAAATCTTGAGTAGATTTTTTTTAAAACAGATCAATTGTTATAGTTACATAATAAAGTAAGTGACAATTTAAATGACAATCTCATGGTTGTGAAATAGTGCAGTCTGTGTTGAGATGAATGAGAAAATACTCAAACTGGTTGAAGGAAATAATTTTTTTTTAAACACCTTAGGTGGGACTTGTACGTAAACCTTGAAAGGTCACCAGTTTCCATAAATATGAAAACTCAATATTTTAAACTAAAGAACTGAGAAACAGAAAGGGATTTGAAAGACCTTATTGAACTTCACATTAAGGTTGGGATTTATCATGACTAATGGCTTCAGACAGGAAAAACCCAATGAGGGTTTCTTCCTGAACCATATCCTAATACAGCCACAAATATTAAACACACCATGCTGGAAGTTGTAACAGCAGTCAAGCTGCATTTTTGACAGGGCATAGGACATACAAATATGTTCAGATCTGGAGTTAAAGAGTATTTTGTGTTATGAATATCTTAATTACCAGAGAAGAAATACATTATAAAAGGATAAACGTATTTTCAGTCCAACGTGCATTGCATTGAGAAACAAATTGACAAGTCTGAGTATTTTGCTATTTTCTTTCCTACACAATCTTTAGTAGCAAGTTAGATGTTTGAGGTGCTATTTCCAAAAACTGCAGCAAAACGTCAACCAGCAATATAAGAAAAGAATCCCATCTATTTTGTCTTTTAGTGTGATTTTTTTCAGGATGTGGTCAGACATTATTGATAATAATCAGTGCAGGCATGGAGTTCTGCTGACTCGTTTCAAACAAAGTAACTTGGTCCGCTAGCTTGGCAAATACTCTGGGGGTTCCGAGATTATAGACGCCTGTATGAACGAAGCAAGCTTTCAGCTGCAAGCTATAGACCTCCTGGCTTTTAAGTTGAAGCTTGTACTGTGTTTGCCCAAGCCATGTAAAAGACCCATGGATTTCTAGTGCTTCTGGGCTGAAAAAGAAGGTAACAAAGTTATTTCTCTATATTTGTTGAAGCATATATACCAGTTTACATGATTTCCTTGATCTCAAGTTTTCCCAAAATTTCAGAAAGCCCCTTACAAAGATACGCTTGTTTATGCTTTCTGAAAACTTCTTTTCAAAAGCCAGGAATTGGAAACTGAAGTTACTATTCTGGCAGTCTTTGGATGCGATAGTGCCCACTGTCAGTCATCTTTGATGACTTGGAAGTTGCTGAGTTTTTTTGCTGCCTACAATAATTTCCCTTAAGTCACCATCTTCCCCAAATGCATCATGCTTGCTTTGTTTCCCACACCACCACCCCCCTTATCTTTAAGGGATGAGGATTTTTCTAGCAAGACAAAGCTAGACTTTGAAAGGATAAGAGTTGCAATCAGAAGTACAGACAGAATTGCGCTTAACATTTTATCAAGATACTAAACTCAGCTTCAAAAAGTAGTCATGTCCATATATCCTCTTTCCTAGTACATCTACGTCCTCCCCACAAACGTACCCACACAGACTACCTAAGGTACCCTGGGGTATCTTTATGGATCCCTACATCCACCCATCAGCAAAATTTAACTCTGGGTCCTTACTTCTTGACAAACACTTTTTAGTGTTGACTAGCACTTAACACACTCCTTTACAGCGGCTCTCCCCCTTGGCTCTGATGAAGCAGTACAAAAATTTAAAACATTTCTGTGGTTCCCAATATGCTGTACATTATATACAGAACATTAATTACACATATATGTATAATAATGAATTCCAGCGTATTCTCAGCTTTTTGTATAACCAATACATAACACCAACAATAGACATAGTAACAAGATTCAAATTGTCGCAGTTTTTGGAAACCCTACATAAGGCATTTTTGGGCCTGTCCCGTGAACTAGAGTGCATCAGAGTGCATCTCACAGAAACAGTCAACATGGATATACACTGCTTTAGAGATATTGTATTAGTATGTTGGTTTGGGGGTAGGAGCTGTGTTTGGTTTTTTGTTTGTTTTTAGGAAGTTTCGAGGCATATGACTACACTATTCTTTCTAAGACATGTCTTACAACATTGTTACAAACATGACCATCTTGTGAAAATACACCAGATGAGTGAATAGCTTCCTGATCTTAACTGATAAATAAAACAGACTTAAGTCTTCTGTCCTCCATTTCTGAACCTGTGTATTAGGTCCTGGGCTTTTCATCTCTTACTTGCCTGGACAGACTGTTGGCAAGCAGTAAGTGTTCCCCATGACTAAGCCTACCCCAACGTCTTCACAACGTGCCTTCCCCCCCACCAAGAATATTCAGAGATCCCACAAAGTCTATTTTGTAGCATTATGTCTACTGGGGGGGGCAGGGGAGAGGTGGTGTCACCCAAATTATGAGTTAATTTGACTAGTTTCAACAGAAGTGTAAAAATTAACATGGTACATCACAGTAGTGAATTCTCTCTCCCACAGAATCCTTAGTAAAACTTTTAGAAACAATTCACAAAACGTTTCTTCAGTGCTAATATTTTTGCACATAATACTACAGTTCTAAGCAAAAAGCCAGTCACAAGAATCAGCTGATAAACCTAGGTATTTTTAAGACTTCCCTAAGATGCTATGACATTTTATACTAAGCCAAATTGCAGGAGGAAGTACTTGTTTAAACTTCCAAAGTTGTTTTCTACAAGTTATTTGGCATTTTAAAAATGAAAACCCAAGAACGTATGTTTAATAAAGTAAGGTTGCTGAAGCTTGTATTTCACTAGTTCAAAAGCATTTCCACTTTCCTAGAAAAGATCTGCAGAGTTTAACTATTCAAGAGTCACAATTCAAGGTCCTGTCTTAGCAATAGTCAGAAGCAAAGTAAAATTGAGCACTGACTGAAGATTCCGATTTGACTGTATGAAGCCTTTATCACCTTCAGTTCTTTCAAAGTAGCCACTACTGAATACCTAGAATAGGATTTTTTCAATACAGTTAAAACATTAAAAAACTCCCCAAAACTAGGAAGCATTCTAAGAAAATATTGTTTTATTAACATTCACACATTACCTTGTTGTTTTATGCCGCAAATCAATCATTACATCTACAACAGCCTGTGAACAATTGGAAAGTAGGAGAGTGACAGGTACCAGACAGAGGCTGCAAAGAGAAATAGTTCAACAGTAAAGGAAAAAAGTCTTACTCTGGATAGTCTTAATTATACTCTTTAATAGTTAAAATAAATTTCAAGCAATATAAAACTAACACGTAGTTGTATATTATGCAACAATCAGACAGTGTACACTTACAATGAGTATAGTTTCCTATAATAAAAGCTATTGATTGAGGCAAATAGCATTGGCTCAATTGAGCCAAATGAAGTTACTACCTTCATCCAGCTGAGAAAGACTAGTAAAAGCATAAATAATACCTTCGTTTACAGGAAATCTACTGTTATGACAAGGAACATTTCAGAATGAGGCAATATGGTCCACTACACTAGTCTCTGAACCACTGTTTAGCATGTTTTGTCTCTACACTTCTCTTCTGCACTGTCTCCTGTAGAGGAATTGTGGCATCTGGCCTAAAGTTTTAGTCAGAACAATGCCCAAACAGAACAGACAGCACATTCACATTTGGTGCTAATTTAAGCCTTTACTCTGAATAACTAATACAGTTAGTTGATATTCTGCTTGTTCACAATTAGTATGATTATTTTTATAAATAATGCCACAGCAAGAAAGACCAAGATATTCACAGGCAGGTACACAAACTACTGCAGCTGAAACAGCTCCATATATGCAGCAAGCAATTTGTGTCACTGGGATGCCCTGTCACTGCTTAACAGTTTAAATATCCTAAACTTGACTAACAAGAAAAGAACAACTAGCAACTATAGCAAATAAGATATGAACTTTACTGGAATAATGCATACTTTATAACTGTTATTAAAGTACGCCACCTTATAAAACATATAAATGCTAGATTTCATAAAGAAAGAAATATCTTCTTCTGGCAACTTACTTATATTAACTGAAGTTTTAGAAAAAAGTGTAACACAGTTCTCAGATAACACAACTTGAACCTAAGTCAGTATCTTTATGTTTTAAGTACAATTCATTTCATACCTGGAAATTAATCCAGAGGGCTTTGTTCAGATCATTCTAATTTTGAAAGACTCTTCTGGCATCTTACTTATATTAACTGAAATTTTAGAAAAAAGTGTAACAGTTCTCAGATAAGACAACTTGAACCTAAGTCAGTATCTTTAAGTTTTAAGTACAATTCATTTCATACCTGGAAATTAATCCAGAGGGCTTTGTTCAGATCATTTTAATTTTGAAAGACTCATGGATTTTACAGGCTCCAACTAATTCACTCTAGCAGTCTGCTTTTTGACAAAAGTTAATTCTGATATTCTTCCAGGAGACAAGCCCCAGTGATCTAAACTGTTACCACTTTTCTTTCTGACATAAATCAGAACCATGTGCAGATAATCTTGGCAAGTCAGATGCTGTAGACATAGTATTTCTTTTGACTTAAAGTACTACTTACTTTCTGTCTAGCTCCTCAAAAGTAGTCACACTGTTTACTCTGACACCGAAAATAAACACAAAGGCAGGGGATTATTTATTTTTCTTTCGGTAAGTTTGATAACATTACTAGTTAACATTAAAACTGAACTGTGGTATTACAGCCTGTTTGTCTACATGAAACTTTGATTTTACCTAAACTCACTGCTTCAGAACTGTATAAGAATTGACTAAGACTTCACCTTTGCAGGCCAGACTTACCTTTTGTATCGTAACCCACATAGCGTTTCTCCACAGGATTTGTGTCAAATTAACAATATTTCAAAAGTTTCTAAAGAAAACATTTCACAAACCTTTTTTGATGAAAAGAATGATTGAAAGACTCTGGATAATGAAGACTTGTCTTGATAAGATTAGAAAGCTGCTCTGGTGTTGGTCTTGCAGGTACTGGTGTGTTTTCTGGTCGAAAAAACTTCAAGAGAACCATTTCCGGCAACTCCTGAAACACAAATTCGGAATGACATTTAAAATATTGACATAAGATAGTGTGCAACACAACACAAGAAATCCAGTCACAGAAGCTACAATTTTCCATTGTGAACTATATCTCCAAGGAAATCAGTCTACGGCATCATGAAGCTTACAGTTTTCTTCCAATGCGTTTTGTATTTAAGCATGCTAGAGGAGGAACTGATATGATTATCTGTCCACAGAATCTCAGTATGGTTGGGGTTGGAAGGGACCTCTGGAGATCATCTAATCCAACACCCCTGCCAAAGCAGGTTCACCTTGAACCTGTTACTGTCTTTTGAGACTGAGATTTCACAGCGGCTTGTGAAAACACTACCTGTGCAAGTTTCACAAAAGCACACTATTGTTGCAGTGGTTTGTTAGTGTTTGTTTTTATTGTGTTGCTAAGAAAAAGGGACAGCATTTACACATTTCCCTGTTTAGCAGCTGTACCAAAAAAAAAACCCAAACAAAAACCAAACTATCACCTGCCTTGGGAAGTTTACAACAGGAAAGCCAATAGCTAAGTATCCCAAAACAGATCCAAAGTAAAACAAACAGAAGTTTATAGGAACATGCTAACAGTGACAAGATTTAATAATGCAGAGTATCTTAAAAATGTATAGCAGGTTCTTGCAGATATGAAAGTTACCTTTGTCCCCAGCTGAAAGCCCAAGTCAAGCATTGACACACTACTTGGAATTCATCCTAACTCTGTGAGCAGAACCAAACTCTGAAGCAGAATAAATCAGATGATACAGAAAGATGCAACACCAAATGAGGCAATTGGGCTGCATTTGGTCCAGCATTACAGCACTACTGTAACTCTGCACAACATCATCTAATCTGTTTTGCAAAGAGGATTTACGTGGGAAGGGGCTGCCTTTCATTATTCCCTTACAAATCTATTCTGCAATACGTCCACCTTTAGAAGAAAAAAAAAATTTGCAGCAGTAAGTGTGACTACTAAAAGCAAGTGAAGGATTTTAAAAAGCCACCAGTAAGTCAGTACAGCGTAACAAAGTAATACTTTTTGGTTAAGGGTGATGGATTGTATCTTCTTAGTTGAAAAGAAATACTATAGGCAACAAAACCTGACTCAACATTAACAGACAACACTGGGCATTCTGCAGTATGCATGAATATCTCAGTCACTGTTTGCCCGTGCTGGTAATACCAAGATGACACCAAATGGTTTGTCAAACTTGCAATTCTTTCCTCTTGAAAGGAAGAGCAGGGTTTTTTTTCCATGTAATTTGAAAAGAAAAAAGCTATTTCACAGTAACAATGAAATATATTTTAAGTGACTAATTAATTTGGTATTTCCACTCTACTCTATGAGTATCTATAACTTGATGAAAATTGATAGCATGAAACACACTGGCCTCCAGAGACAAGGTTATAGGTTTTCATTTAAATTGATTTTTCCCCTCAAATTACAGTCCAACCAATTATTCAATGCCCTCTTCAACCACATATCAAGATCCTACACACTGTAGTTTGCCCTAGAGTCAAATTACCTGTTCCAAGTCCTCCCAATCAGAATTCCCGAGTATTTTTTTAAAACCCTACAAAAGACAAATACGAAGGTTTATCTCTACAAATAGACAAGAACATAATGAAATGAAGCAGGAACATTTACTGGTGAAAGTGCAGAGTGCCGTTAATATTTCAAACGTTTAGTTCTAATATTAGACCTCTACTGAAGGACTGGAAAGCAGTAAGATTAACCATTTACCATCACAGAGCTAAATTTTAATTCCAGCCAGCCTCTGGGTGTCAGATTCAGAAAAGATGTCTGCATCTTCGAGTTCAGCAGCTCAAAGTTTAGGTTTTTTGTAATTGTGCATGTAGAACATAGGCTAAGACATGACATTTAGTACATGATTCTCTTACCTAATGCTTCAGGAGGCAATTAAGCACTTCTGAATGGTAACTAAGAAGATGTGCATAGGGATCAGGGAGCCACCTACAGACAGCTAATAGGAAATGCTAAGTTTAAGGATGCATTAAACTCCTGCCCTACTCTTGAGCTTGGGAAATGGGATCAAGGCTACAAAAAAAGATGCCCATACCTACTTGGGCACCTGTATCCTCCCTTCAAGAATATGCACCAAGTAGGCAACAGCCTCAAGACTTTTGGTTAGTTACATTTAGAAACAAAGTAAACAAAGCCAATAATTAAATAGGTGGTATTTTGTTGCTGAACTCCCAGAATACCAGCCGAAATGGAGTATTGCCTTTTTAAAGGCAAAATCGGAAGTTCCCAGACCTAAAGTCTGCTTCTTGACCCATTACGGTTCCTTGCAAAGCCTCCAGAAGTGCCATGGGCTCCAGTGGACAGCAAACACCATACATTACATACAAGAAGGCCACAACAACGGTTAAGATACTCCCTTTTAAAAAACGGTTAAGGTGTAATTTGACAGTCTCATCCATACATTGTGGTAGTGTACAGATAAGCATGACTGGAACAGACATCATCATAACAAAGTTTGGAAAAACTGTACGGGGGGGGTGGTGGTTTTTGTTATTGTTTTAAATTTTATAGCTGCATTTAAGCGTTTTGTTTTTTGACTAGAAACACGTTAACAGTCAGTTGCAACAGAACCACGCTGCTCCCACAGTT